CTGGAAGCTCGGAGTTTACAGGCTTCTTCATGGATCTGAGCTTCCTCTCTGAATTCGTCGATCAGGTCAAGGTCGGCTACTATCTCCTGATCGTTCTGCTCGCTGTCGAAAACTTGGCATTGATGAGATGTCTCCCTGACCTCGACTGGGATCATTGCGTCAGCTCCGTAAGTTAGCCTATAAGGCATTTCCTTTGGCATTCCCTAGCCGTTTCTTGAGCTCTCGGAGTATCACCTTGTTGGCAGCTTCGGCTTGGCCATTGGTCTGGGGGTGCTCCACCGAGGTCGGGAGGTGTTTGATACCGAGCTCACAGAGGAAGTCCTCAAAGCTTTGTGCGATGAACTGCCTGCCGTTATCGGTAACGAGGGAATAAGGGATGTCGAACCTGCATATGATGCTCTTCCAAGTAAATTTTTGCACATTCTCGGCGGTGATCTTGGCGAGTGGGCACGCCTCGATCCAGTTGGTGAAGTAATCAATTACCACCAGGAGATACTTGAGTTGACCTTTCACGAGGGGAATGGTCCAAGGATGTCCATTCCCCACCGGGCAAAAGGCTAGGATGACATCATCTGGTGGAGGGCTTCAGGTGGCTCTGCAGAAAGACCTCAGCAGAATCAAGGCCTTCCACTGGCCCGACCGTCTCGATCATAGCTTGATTAGACGAGCTCAACGAACCCTTGGGGAAGAACTTCTCCGAGGTCACCCCTGCAGATCGTCCCTACGACCGATCTCCGGTAAGAACATTTGGCGCTCACCGTGGGGCCGATCATTCACCCGAAGCCATAGTAGACGCGCAACAGACGATGCAGATCACACGACAAGCATGGACAATGAAGCAGTATTGAGGAGACTGATCGAACAGATCGAGCAGATGCGACAACAACACATCTCCGATTTGCAAAACATCTGTGCCAAGCACGAAACTGACCTAGCAGTGCTGCGTAGTGCGAACAAGGCTGACATGGCGACGCTACGCGCTGAGAACGAGCGTATTCGTGCTCAGCTTCCTCGGTGCCCTTTTGATTAGCCCCCTCCACCGAGCGGTCAACACGAAGAGGAGGGGCACTCGGTCTCTCAACCCCCAACTGCAACTAGGGCACCGACTCCCCGACCTGCTACACATCGGTTGCACGCACCAACAAATAGGTCGGCCCATGAAGTCAGCAATGCTCCTGCCCTGGTCCATGGAAATCGGGCGAGCATTCGTCGCCACCCCTTTGTGGATGACATCATGGAGACGCTTCTGTCCTTTGGCTGGAAGCCCCTCCACATTGACCGCCACGACAGCCCGACGGATCCAGAAGAGCACATCGACTTATATGTCACGCAGGTAAACTTATACACTAACGACGATGCTATTCAGTGTAGGATTTTTTCGACCTTGCTTAAGGGTGCGGCGCTCGCCTGATATACCCAACTGCTGGCAGGATCGATCGACAACTTCGGCACCCTGGTCAAGCAGTTTACGGCACAGTATGCTACGAGCCGGGCTCATCACATTACGTTAGCTGCTCTGGCCAATCTCAGACAGAGCGATGATGAGCCGCTGAGGACGTTCATGGAGCGCTTTGCCAGCATCTCGGTCAAGATTCAAAATTTGAATCCCGAGGTTGCCTTACACGCCATGCTTATGGCACTCAAGCCAGGACCGTTTGTCGACAGCCTGTGTCGGTGACCCCCTGTTGACATGGACGAACTCCGTGCCTGAGATGCCAGTTACATCCAGATGGAAGAGCACTCTACCTTCCGTGACTAGGTCCGAGGCAAATCACAACCAAAGTCGGACCTGGGACACAAAGATAAAGTGAAGGTCACCAACGATAGTCAATTCAAGAAGACTGCTAGGGCAAATAAAGTGGGGAGATACGACTTCTACAACACCCCCTGAATGCGCCCCGGGTACACATCCTGGAGGAGGCCAGCAATAGCAACTTGCTCACCCTACCACCACCAGGACACAACCCTAACAGTGCAGACAAATCTAAGCACTATCGATATCACAGGAATCATTGTCATACAATCGAAGAATGTCGTACGCTCAGGGATCGTATAGAGGAGCTCATCCAGGAAGGACACCTCGGACAATATGTCCAACGGCAGGAGGGCCACCAAGGAGGCTATAATGGACGAGGACAAGGGCGAGGTCGCGGTGCAGGCACTCACACCGACCAACCCTCCGAATCTCAACAAAATGCTGGTGGCGCAGTGCAGGCCGAGGTAAGCCAAGAAACAGGGTCAGCTCCCTTACGGGGGATTATGAACACAATTGCAGGTGATTTTGCAAGGGGAGGCTCTAGCAGCTCGACACGAAAAAGACACCTGCGCAGCATCAATAATGTCCACTCCGCTACCTCGGCCCCGCAGCAAAGCTCGCCACCAATCACCTTCACTGACGGCGACTACGCTGGCGTCTGCCCAAATCAAGATGACCCATCGCTGTGGAGGTCGCCAACTGGGAAGTCCACAAAATGCTAATCGATTAAGGCAGCTCGGCCGACGTCCTGTACTGGCCAACATTCCTTAGGTTAGACATCCATCACTCCCTTATCCAACCTCACACAGAGCCCCTAGTTGGTTTTGTAGGAGAACGAGTTCACACTCGGGGGTACGTGGATCTATTGACAACCTTCAGAACTTCTCCCCGATTCGGGGAGGATCATGGTCTGCTACCTCCTCGTCGAAGCCAACACGTCCTATAACATCATCATCGGAACGCCGACGTTGAACCAACTCGGAGCAGTGGTGTCTACCCCACACCTCACGATGAAGTTCCCAGGGAACGGTGGTAAGATCATCTCCATCAAGGAAAACTAGAAGACATCCTGGCAGTGCTACGCCGAGAGTTTGAAGGTCTCACCATCCGAGGAGTGCCGCAAAAGTGACCCTTCTACCGTGGCTCATATCGCCCACGTGGACTTCACCGACTTAGATCCGAGGTCTGACTCCCACGAAGAACGGCCGACTCCCATTGATGAGCTCGACGACCTCCAGATCGGCAAACTCCCTGGACAGTGCACCAAAATAAGCAGGCAGCTCAACCCAGAGTACAACGGCAATTAGAAGCTGAAATCTCCAAGAACGCTGACCGCTTTTCATGGTCTAGCGCCGACATGCTAGGTATAGATGCTAACTTCATCTGTCACAGGCTAGCAATTCACAAGGAGGCGAAACTAGTGGCCTAGAGGAAGAGAAAGGTCGGTGGCGAGAGGCGAGAAGCCATCATCACCGAGACGCAAAAGCTGCTGAACGCGGGCTTCATCCGCGAGGTCAGATACACCATGTGGCTGGCAAACGTGGTACTGGTAAAGAAGAGCTCAAGGAAGTGGTGCATGCGCATCGATTATACCGACTTGAACAAAGCATGCCCCAAGGACTCGTACCCCTTGCCGAGCATCGACATGCTAGTTGATGGAGCATCCGGACACGCCCTCCTCAGCTTCCTTGACGCCTACTCTGGGTACAACCAGATCATGATGCACCCACCAGACGAGGTGCACACGTCGTTCATCACCGACCACGCCAACTTTTGCTACCGGGTGATGCCCTTCAGTCTCAAAAATGCAGGGGCCACTTACCAGCGGCTGATGGACAAGGTTTTCCACCAACAAATCGGGCAGAACATGGAGGTCTACGTTGACGACATGGTGGTCAAAACCACCTCGGCCGAAGGTCATGCTGTCGACCTGGCCGAGGTGTTCAGCCAGATCAGGAAACACAACATGCGCCTCAACCCAGAGAAGTGCATCTTCGCCTTCCAAGGAGGTAAATTCCTGGGCTTCATGATCACCAACAGGGGGATTGAAGCCAACCCGGAGAAATGCAAAGCCATCATCCAGATGCAGAGTCCCCAGACTATGAAAGACGTCCAATGCCTGGCGGGAAGGTTGGTCTCTCTTTCACGCTTTATCCCCAGGTTGGCGGAGAAGGCAAGACCCATTTTCACCCTGCTGCGAAAGCCAAAAAATTTTGATTGGACGAACCAGTGCGAGGAGGCTTTCAAGAGCTTCAAAACCTTTCTCACGACTCCACCAATCCTCTAGAGGCCGGATCACCAAGCTGACCTCCTCCTCTACCTGGTCGTGGAAGAAGGCGCGATCAGCGCAGTTATAGTGCAAGAGCACCAAAAAGTGCAGATGCCAGTCTATTTTATCAGCTGAGTTCTCCAAGACACGGAGAAATGGTATCAAACGATTCAAAAGCTTGCACTGGCACTTGTCACTGCAGCTTGGCATCTTCGACCTTACTTTCAAAGCCACCAGGTGGTCGTTAAGACCGACTACCTAATCAAGCAAATCTTGAGAAAGCCAGAGCTCGCCGGGCGGATGATAGCATGGTCGGTAGAATTGTCTGAGTTCGACATCTAGTACGAAAGTTGCGGTGCTCTGAAAGCTCAATGCCTGGCCAACTTTGTAGCCGAACTGATACCAACCTCGATCGATGAACCACAAGTATGGACTTTACATGTTGACGAGTCCTCCAACTCTAAGGGTAGTGGTGCAGGTATCATCTTGGAAGGATCGAACTAAGTCACTTTAGAGCAGTCCCTCAAGTTTGGCTTCAAGGTGACCGACAACCAGGCATAATATGAGGCGCTTCTCGCAGGGCTGAGGTTGGCTCGCGACCTAGGAGCATGGAGAGTGGGTTGCAACAGCGACTCAAAACTCATGGTGGAACAGCTCAGCGGGGCATATCAGACCAAGGACACCTTATTATAGAGGTATTTCCATCTAGCCACCCAACAAATCTCCTCCTTTGACGAGTTCACAATCCACCATGTACCCTGGGAGCAAAACGCAAGAGCTGACCTCTTATCCAAGCTTGCCAGCATGAAACGTCCCGGGCAACACCAGACCATCATACAGGAGACCTTACATTCACCCAGGTTGGATGACAAGGTCGTCAACACCAATGACGGCGGAGAACAAGGATGGATGACAAACATCTAGAATTACTTAAAGGAAGGAATCCTACCTGAGGATAAAGATGAAGCTCGGAGGATGAGGGTGAGGTCAGCTAAGTTCGTAATTGTCAAAGACGAACTATTCAAACGCGGCATCTCCGCACCACTGCTCAAATTCTTGACCACGCCTCAAGCTGCTTATGTCATTGAGGAGATCCATCGGGGAATATGTGGTATGCACTCCGGAGCGCACTCAATGGCGACTAGAGTACTCTGAGTTGGATATTACTGGCCAACATTGAAGTCGGACTGTCAAGCCTACGTACAAAGATGCAAGGAATGCAAATAGTTCGACAATACACATCGGTAACCACCTGAAGCCCTCCACCAGATGATGTCATCCTAGCCTTTTGCCCGGTGGGGAATGGACATCCTTGGACCATTCCCCTCGTGAAAGGTCAACTCAAGTATCTCCTGGTGGTAATTGATTACTTCACCAACTGGATCGAGGCGTGCCCACTCGCCAAGATCACCGCCGAGAATGTGCAAAAATTTACTTGGAAGAGCATCATATGCAGGTTCGACATCCCTTATTCCCTCGTTACCGATAACGGCAGGCAGTTCATCGCACAAAGCTTTGAGGACTTCCTCTGTGAGCTCGGTATCAAACACCTCCCGACCTCGGTGGAGCACCCCCAGACCAATGGCAAAGCCGAAGCTGCCAACAAGGTGATACTCCGAGAGCTCAAGAAACGGCTAGGGAATGCCAAAGGAAATGCCTTATAGGCTAACTTACGGAGCTGACGCAATGATCCCAGTCGAGGTCAGGGAGACATCTCATCAATGCCAAGTTTTCGACAGCGAGCAGAACGATCAGGAGATAGTAGCCGACCTTGACCTGATCGACGAATTCAGAAAGGAAGCTCAGATCCATGAAGAAGCCTGTAAACTCCGAGCTTCCAGAAGGTATAACACGCGAGTTCGACCTCGCTCTTTCCGAGTTGGCGACTTAGACTGGCGACTACTTGGCGACGCTCGCAGAGATTAATCAGAAGGAAAACTTCCACCGAACTGGGATGGTTCATTCAAAATCACTGAAAACTTAGAAAATGGAGCTTACCGACTGGAAGAGCTTAGTGGCAAAACCATCCCACGAACTTGGAATGCCGCGCATCTCAAGTTCTACTTCAGTTGAAATTGTAAGAATGAGCTGTGCACTCTTTTCCCGCCTCAGTCTTTTGTCCCAAAAAACAGAAAAATGGGTTTTGGCTGCGAGGGGTTTTAAAGAGGCACACCCGCAATATTAATAAAATGACTCATTCCTTTTCTATTCATACTCTATTAACTCTACATCATTTTATCATTAAAGGCTTCATGTTAAGCCGAGTTTGAGTTCGAACCTTGGCACAATTCATTTTACTTAAAACCGAGGTCGAGTCCGAACCTTGGTACGATTCATTTTACTCTAAGCCGAGGTTGAGTTCGAACCTCGACACAATTCATTTTACTTTAAGCCGAGGCCAAGTTCGAACCTTGGCACGATTCATTTTACTTTAAGCCGAGGTCGAGTTCGAACCTTGGCACGATTCATTTTACTTTAAGTCGAGGTCGAGTTTGAACCTTGGTACGATTCATTTTACTTTAAGCCGAGGTCGAGTTCGAACCTTGGCACAATTCATTTTACTTTAAGCCGAGGTCGAATTCGAACCCCGATACGGAATCCTAAGTCAAGGTCGAATCCGAACCTCGGTATTAAACCATAACCCGAAGTCGAGTTCGAACCTCGAGGTGAAATCCCAACCCAAGGTCGAATCCGAACCTTGGTATGCATCATTCTATACTAAGCCAGGATCGAATTCAAACCCTGGTGCAAATCGCTATGCACAAAGTATAGAGCCAATTTTGAACGCGTTTTAAAACCGCAGGAACGAGCTAAAACTAAGCCCAAAGCCAAAATTTCATTTCGCACGCAAACAAAAGGTAGGCATAGAACCATCAAAAATGCAAAGGGGAAAACCCAGAAAAATCATATACACACAACATTGTTTACGAGTTCACAACATTAATCCAACAGGAAAAAGAAATAAGCAGAACAAGTTAAACTAAGCTATTACAAAGCCCAAATGGCCTAAGCAGAGGCATTATCACTTGAGCTTTCCTAGAGTTCGTCTTCTTTCACCAGCTTTCCAAAGCGCACCTCCTTCTCCACATGCATCGCGGAGAGGTCTACTCCCGGCGCAAGTAGCCTCGCCTGACGAACCGCCTTGATGAAGCCTTTCTTGTGCTCCAACAAGATATGTCGTTCCGCCTCGACAAGGCGCCTCTCCAGCTCCGCCTTCTCCGCGAAAATCCTGGCAAGGTCCGCCTTCAGAGCGACAACCACCTCGTCACAAAGATGCTTCTCGGCCGCCTCAGCCAGATCAGCTTTCAGCGCAGTCACCTCGTCTTCTAAAGAGCGCACCCGACCCCGGGAAGAAGTGGCGAGTTTCTGCAACTCATTCACTTGGGCAGCGTAAGTCTCATTGGCCCTTAGATCAACCTCCAAATACTTATGAACTCTCACCACCTCCAACTTGGTGGCCTGAAGCTCGGCCTCATTTTTCATCTTGGCCTCGCCGAGAGCAGCTGCTAAGGCCTTGTTCTCCTCCTTCAAAGGTTGGACTCGGCCCTTCAACTTCACCAGGTCCTCCTGCTGCTTGGACCACTTGTGCTTCCAATGGTCCACAATAGCCATTGTTCTCTGCAGAAAGACCTCAGCAGAATCAAGGCCTTCCACTGGCCCGACCGTCTCGATCATAGCTTGATTAGACGAGCTCAACGAACCCTTGGGGAAGAACTTCTCCGAGGTCACCCCTGCACTCCACAGTGAATATATATCTTCCGAAGCGCTCATGTGGTCCAACCGCACCAGAGAGCGATCCTTCCCAAAGCGTTGGGCGAGGTATTGGATTTTGGGGGCCCCTCTCGACGGGCCAGACGGTGGCGCCGAGGTCGCAGGAGTAGGTGTCAGAACCTCGGAGCTCGGCCCCTTGCCGCGGGCCTCGGCAGAAGCAGAAGCAGGCGCCTCCTGCTCAACAACGAGGGCGCCCGCCCCGGGTATCTCCGAGCTTGGAGTCACCCGGACCTCGACACCATTCCTCGCCTACAAAAGAGTTGGATTCCCTCCTAAGTTAGAAATCAAGAAAAAGACAATATAGAAGGAAAACCACAAAGAAAGGAACTAACCTCGGCGGCCTGGGCAACCTCCTCGGCGACCACTTGGGGAGCTCCCTCGGGCAAGGACTCCCGGTGAGGTCAACCGCGCCGGCGTCGGCAGCCTTTTGTAGACCCCTAAAATTGTCCGGGTCGGAAATAA